GCACATGTCTGAAGACAGCAAGTCTCGTGAGAAAGGCATGTAGAAGAGTCAGTCCGTGAGAAAGGCACTGTATCAGAAAGTCTGTTGTTGAAAGGGCTCTGTACAAGAGAAGTCCGATGTAGAAGGCACTGTAGAAGAGGAGAGTCTCGTGAGAAAAGACTGTAATGAAGAAGTCTCGGAGCTTAATCATTTGAAGTAATTTCACTCTGCAATTTGGATTAGTCTTATTTTATTCTGAAGTGTTTGAGCCAAGCGAGAGGCTTGGTAAGTTATCAGAAGCACTCCAGGATGCTGGCAATGTTCACCTCTGGTCACAGGGAACCTCTGTAATGTTGGGGTTCAGTCCCTGGACCCATTATGTACCTCTGTAATGTTGGGGTTCAGTCCCTGGACCCATTATGTACCTCTGTAATGTTGGGGTTCAGTCCCTGGACCCATTATGTACCTCTGTTATGTTGGGTCCAGTCCTGGATCCATTATGTACCTCTGTAATGTTGGAGTCCAGTCCTGGATCCATTATGTACCTCTGTAATGTTGGGGTCCAGTCCCTGGATCCATTATGTACCTCTGTAATGTTGGGGTCCAGTCCCTGGACCCATTATGTACCTCTGTAATGTTGGGGTCCAGTCCCTGGACCCATTATGTACCTCTGTAATGTTGGGGTCCAGTCCCTGGACCCATTATGTACCTCTGTAATGTTGGGGTCCAGTCCCTGGACCCATTATGTACCTCTGTAATGTTGGGGTCCAGTCCCTGGACCGATTATGTACCTCTGTAATGTAGGGGTCCAGTCCCTGGACCCATTATGTACCTCTGTAATGTTGGGGTCCAGTCCCTGGACCCATTATGTACCTCTGTAATGTTGGGGTCCAGTCCCTGGACCCATTATGTACCTCTGTAAATGTAGGGGTCAGTCCCTGGACCCATTATGTACCTCTGTAATGTTGGGGTCCAGTCCCTGGACCTATTATGCATCTCTGTAATGTTGGGGTCCAGTCCCTGGACCCATTATGTACCTCTGTAATGTTGGGGTCCAGTCCCTGGACCCATTATGTACCTCTGTAATGTTGGGGTCCAGTCCCTGGACCCATTATGTACCACTGTAATGTTGGGGTCCAGTCCCTGGACCCATTATGTACCTCTGTAATGTTGGAGTCCAGTCCCTGGACCCATTATGTACCTCTATAATGTTGGGGTCCAGTCCCTGGACCCATTATGTACCTCTGTAATGTTGAGGTCCAGTCCCTGGACCCATTATGTACCTCTGTAATGTTGGGGTTCAGTCCCTGGACCCATTATGTACCTCTGTAATTTTGGGGTCCAGTCCCTGGACCCATTATGTACCTCTGTAATGTTGGGGTCCAGTCCTGGACCCATTATGACCTCTGTAATGTTGGGGTCCAGTACCTGGACCCATTATGTACCTCTGTTATGTTGGGGTCCAGTCCCTGGACCCATTATGTACCTCTAATGTTGGGGTTCAGTCCCTGGACCCATTATGTACCTCTGTAATGTTGGGGTCCAGTCCCTGGACCCATTATGTACCTCTGTAATGTTGGGGTTCAGTCCCTGGACCCATTATGTACCTCTGTAATTTTGGGGTCCAGTCCCTGGACCCATTATGTACCTCTGTAATGTTGGAGTCCAGTCCCTGGACCCATTATGTACCTCTGTAATGTTGGGGTCCAGTCCCTGGACCCATTATGTGCCTCTGTAATGTTGGGGTCCAGTCCCTGGACCCATTATGTACCTCTAATCTTCTGACTAGCGCCCACAGGATGGGTATGGGGTATATAATAAAGATCTTAAACTAACAGGTCAACTGTTTCCGAGAATCTGGTCCTAGTTACCGTACACCAGATTTGTAAAAAAATGAAGGTGTTTAGATAAGATCTTTTCGCCTTAAGAACGAAAAAAAAAACGAAAGGTTGGAGGGGAGAATTGAAAAAGGAAACAATACAGACAACCGCTTAAAGGCCATACTAACATACCTAACAATTTGCCCTTCAGTTAAAACGGAAAAAAAGGGCTGCATCCGAGGCCACTGCACAAAAAACAGCCTAGTCGTACCTAGTCGTACATAGTCATTACTTTAACTTGTAGCAGGTTTAATAGTTATAATCTTAAGTAGGATTTTTAGAGAGGTGGAGGGGTGAGTCAGTGGAAGGACTCTGACAGATGACCAAAGCTCCAGCTGTGGGTCATATAACTAAGACCAGCATCAGGAAACACTTGTCATATTTCCTGACAAACCTGACCTAACCTAACCTACCAAAAGCTCCAGCTGTGGGTCATATGCTACCACCACTTGTCAAGATCGTGCCAACCACAGTATACCTAGCAAGTCGTAGCCAGGTGATAGTAGCTAGGGTGATGTGGAGCCCAGGAGTAGATGATAGTAACTAGGGTGTGGCACCCAGCAGTGGATAATAAACCAGGTGATAGAAGTTAGGGTGACATGGAACCCCTGAGTGAATGATGGTAGCTAGGGGGACATGGAACCCCTGAGTGAATGATGGTAGCTAGGGGGACATGGAACCCAGGAGTGAATGATGGTAGCTAGGGGGACATGGAACCCCTGAGTGAATGATGGTAGCTAGGGGGACATGGAACCCAGGAGTGAATGATGGTAGCTAGGGGGACATGGAACCCAGGAGTGGATAATAAGAACTATTTGACATGGAACCCAGTAGTGGATGATAGTAGGCAGGGTGACATGGAACCCAGCAGTGGATGACAGTAGCCAGGGTGACATGGAACCCAGCAGTGGATGACAGTAACCAGGGTGACATGGAACCCAGCAGTGGATGACAGTAGCCAGGGTGACATGGAACCCAGCAGTGGATGACAGTAGCCAGGGTGACATGGAACCCAGCAGTGGATGACAGTAACCAGGGTGACATGGAACCCAGCAGTGGATGACAGTAGCCAGGGTGACATGGAACCCAGCAGTGAATGAGAGTAGCCAGGGTGACATGGAACCCAGCAGTGGATGACAGTAGCCAGGGTGACATGGAACCCAGCAGTGGATGACAGTAACCAGGGTGACATGGAACCCAGCAGTGAATGAGAGTAGCCAGGGTGACATGGAACCCAGCAGTGGATGACAGTGGGCAGGGTGACATGGAACCAAGCAGTGAATAACAGTAGCCAGGGTGACATGGAACCCAGCAGTGGATGACAGTAGCCAGGGTGACATGGAATCCAGCAGTGGATGACAGTAGCCAGGGTGATATGAAACCCAGCAGTGAATGAGAGTAGCCAGGGTGACATGGAACCCAGCAGTGGATGACAGTAGCCAGGGTGACATGGAACCCAGCAGTGGATTACAGTAACCAGGGTGACATGGAACCCAGCAGTGGATGACAGTAGCCAGGGTGACATGGAACCCAGCAGTGGATGATAGTAACCAGGGGGACATAGACCCCAGCAGTGGATGACAGTAACCAGGGTGACATGGAACCCAGCAGTGGATGACAGTAGCCAGGGTGACATGGAACCCAGCAGTGGATGACAGTAACCAGGGTGACATGGAACCCAGAAGTGGATGACAGTAACCAGGGGGACATGGAACCCAGCAGTGGATGACAGTAACCAGGGTGACATGGAACCCAGAAGTGGATGACAGTAACCAGGGGGACATGGAACCCAGCAGTGGATGACAGTAACCAGGGTGACATGGAACCCAGAAGTGGATGACAGTAACCAGGGTGACATGGAACCCAGCAGTGGATGACAGTAGCCAGGGTGACATGGAACCCAGAAGTGGATGACAGTAACCAGGGTGACATGGAACCCAGAAGTGGATGACAGTAACCAGGGTGACATGGAACCCAGAAGTGGATGACAGTAGCCAGGGTGACATGGAACCCAGAAGTGGATGACAGTAACCAGGGTGACATGGAACCCAGCAGTGGACACCAAGAACTCACTAGATAACTGGCTACAATACATTAATCCCTTCCTGGCCACGGGCAAACACTTGAACCCTCGACTTACCAACATGTCGAGAAAGTTGACAAGGTCATCCGGAGGACACGAGGAACAGTGCCTCTGAATCAGGTGGATAAAGCCCATAGTAACAGAAATGTTTGGCAGTAAAAATACCCAGGTGTTGCAGGTGTTAGATGAATCACTGGCCCGAGAAACAGGAGTACGAGTGTAGATACGCTACTGGGACAGAAAATGAAGTTAAAATGGCCGACCTTTACGACCTTAAAGGTATTCAGTGGTCAGTTCTTCAGCCAGTGGGGCTGACCACTACTTATCAAGACTGGATTTATCACCTCAGGAATATATGTATAGTTTTCACTGTATCTGACTAAACTCAAGAAATCGTAATGACACGATTGCAAACAAACCATACGGGTTCAATCCCGGCCGGGGGTATGGTTTATCTGACCGAACCTGCATAAACGAAACCTTTGGGCAGTTATCTAATTCACTCTCAAAAGGACACAAAGGAACAGTACCGTGACTGGAACAGTACCGTGACTGGAACAATACCGTGGCTGGAACAATACCGTGACTGGAACAGTACCGTGACTGAAACAATACCGTGACTGGAACAGTACCGTGACTGGAACAGTACCGTGACTGTAACAGTACCGTGACTGGAACAATACCGTGACTGGAACAGTACCGTGACTGGAACAGTACCGTGACTGGAACAGTACCGTGACTGGAACAGTACCGTGACTGTAACAGTACCGTGACTGTAACAGTACCGTGACTGGAACATTACCGTGATGGAACAGTTACCGTGACTGTAACAGTACCGTGACTGGAACAGTACCGTGACTGGAACAATACCGTGACTGTAACAGTACCGTGACTGTAACAGTACCGTGACTGGAACAGTACCGTGACTGGAACAGTACCGTAACTGGAACGTACCGTGAATAACAGTACCGTGACTGGAACAATACCGTGACTGGAACAGTACCGTGACTGGAACAGTACCGTGACTGGAACAGCACACAAATGGTGGGTATAATTACCAATGTCCTTAATGAGAAGCAGGAACGCAGTATCCCAGTAGGCAACTCAAGAAGTTTAAGAGGACCAAGACTCCTCAACAGCCTTCCTTCATGTGTAAGGGGAATTAACAGGACCGCCTAGCTGTTTGCGAGAGTGAATTTGACGAGATCCAAAGCCGGGTCTTGATAAGACAGGTAGTGATGCCTACACTGGACTACAGGTGGTCAGAACCAACAGCCTGATTCGTCGACAGGAAGACCTGGTCTGGGACCAGGTCTTGGGGGCAGTGACTGTCTACATGTAAACTAGAGATTGTCATTACCATAGACACACTCGCCCTTAACACTAAAATATCTGAGAGGAGTGTGGCTCGGACGGCAGGCCAGGTGTGCAATACACCGGTGACAAACACCTGTGGAACACCTGTAACTCCAACTCACTTGCTCCCACGTCAAACACATATCTCTGATACTAATATAACTAACTGCAGGACGAAGAAAGTTGGTGGGAGGAGAAGGGGCATGGAGGAGAGAGAAGGGGGCATGGAGGAGAGAGAAGGGGGCATGGAGGAGAGAGAAGGGGGTATGGAGGAGAGAGAAGGGGTATGGAGGAGAGAGAAGGGGTATGGAGGAGAGAGAAGGGGTATGGAGGAGAGAGAAGGGGTATGGAGGAGAGAGAAGGGGGTATGGAGGAGAGAGAAGGGGGTATGGAGGAGAGAGAAGGGGGTATGGAGGAGAGAGAAGGGGTATGGAGGAGAGAGAAGGGGTATGGAGGAGAGAGAAGGGGGTATGGAGGAGGAGAGAGAAGGGGTATGGAGGAGAGAGAAGGGGGTATGAGGAGAGAGAAGGGAGTATGGAGGAGAGAGAAGGGGTATGGAGGAGAGAGAAGGGGTATGGAGGAGAGAAAAGGGGGTATGGAGGGAGAGAAGGGGTATGGGGAGAGAGAAGGGGGGTATGGAGGAGAGAGAAGGGGGTATGGAGGAGAGAGAAGGGGGTATGGAGGAGAGACAAGGGAGTATGGAGGAGAGAGAAGGGGGTATGGAGGAGAGAGAAGGGGGTATGGAGGAGAGAGAAGGGGGTATGGAGGAGAGAGAAGGGAGTATGGAGGAGAGAGAGGGGGTATGAAGGAGAGAGAAGGGTATGGAGGAGAGAGAAGGGGTATGAAGGAGAGAGAAGGGGGTATGGAGGAGAGAGAAGGGGTATGGAGGAGAGAGAAGGGGGTATGGAGGAGAGAGAAGAGTTTTGGAGGAGAGAGAGGGAGTATGGAGAGAGAGAAGGGAGTATGGAGGAGAGAGAAGAGGTATGGAGGAGAGAGAAGAGGTATGGAGGGTAAACAGTGGAGACCAGAATACCCAGAGGAGTGCCCAGCTCAGCTTGGCACTGCTACCAGACATGACCTCTCACACAACTTTCCTGGGCGACAGCTACACTGCAGAAATTCTTTCACTCTGACACAGTTTAGGGTCATAAATACTGGAGATGGAGAGATGGAAGATGCTGAAGAAGTGAGACACAACACTGCACAAGGAGAAAGATCTTGGGGTAAACATCACACCCAACATATCGCCAGAGATAAGCATAAACATTATGACAATAATAATAATAATAATAATAATAATAATAATAATAATAATAATAATAATAATAATAATATCTTTATTTACTACCAGTACATGTACAAGGTATACCAGTACATGTACAAGGTATACCAGTACATGTACAAGGTATACCAGTACATGTACAAGGTATACAAGTACATGTACAAGGTATACAAGTACATGTACAAGGTATACAAGTACATGTACAAGGTATACAAGTACATGTACAAGGTATACAGTAACAGTATGTACAGAAGGTATACAAGTACATGTACAAGGTATACAAGTACATGTACAAGGTATACAAGTACATGTACAAGGTATACAAGTACATGTACAAGGTATACAAGTACATGTACAAGGTATACAAGTACATGTACAAGGTATACAAATACATGTACAAGGTATACCAGTACATGTACAAGGTATACAGTACATGTACAAGGTATACAAGTACATGTACAAGGTATACAAGTACATGTACAAGGTATACAAGTACATGTACAAGGTATACCAGTACATGTACAAGGTATACAAGTACATGTACAAGGTATACAAGTACATGTACAAGGTATACAAGTACATGTACAAGGTATACAAGTACATGTACAAGGTATACAAGTACATGTACAAGGTATACAAGTACATGTACAAGGTATACAAGTACATGTACAAGGTATACAGTACATGTACAAGGTATACAAGTACATGTACAAGGTATACAAGTACATGTACAAGGTATACAAGTACATGTACAAGGTATACCAGTACATGTACAAGGTATACCAGTACATGTACAAGGTATACCAGTACATGTACAAGGTATACCAGTACATGTACAAGGTTATACCAGTACATGTACAAGGTATACCAGTACATGTACAAGGTATACCAGTACATGTACAAGGTATACAAGTACATGTACAAGGTATACCAGTACATGTACAAGGTATACCAGTACATGTACAAGGTATACAAGTACATGTACAAGGTATACCAGTACATGTACAAGGTATACCAGTACATGTACAAGGTATACCAGTACATGTACAAGGTAACCAGTACATGTACAAGGTATACAGTACATGTACAAGGTATACCAGTACATGTACAAGGTATACAAGTACATGTACAAGGTATACAAGTACATGTACAAGGTATACAAGTACATGTACAAGGTATACAAGTACATGTACAAGGTATACCAGTACATGTACAAGGTATACCAGTACATGTACAAGGTATACATGTGCAACATACAGTGCCTCCTTTATTGAAGTGCCTCCAGGCAATTCAATAAATGAAATTCTAAAACTCCTTGCATGACTTATGGTAGGCCTACCATGGAGCCCGTGCCTGGCCAAGAATGTACACTCGAAAATATGCAAAGGTTTGCAACATGACTAGTCATGGAGTTGAGAGGATGGAGTTACGAGTACTCGGGTAGAATGGTCAGCAATGTCTACGAGGATGGGTCCCCTCAAGGAAGGTTCCTTGATGTTGGTGAGGGGCTCTTGATTTAGGGAATTGGATCTGTGCTCCAGTTCCCCGAATTAAGCCTGAATGCCTTCCACATCCCCCCCCCCAGGCGCTGTATAATCCTCCGGGTTTAGCGATTCCCCCTTGATAATAATAATAATAATACGAGGATGGGTCACATACACTTGTAATTTAGGTAAATATCGTCTGTAAACTCAATAAAGGACACCAATGGAATTAAATCACTGTGTCTGACATTTTTGGGTCATCCCAGGTTCTCTACACACATGCTGCTATGTATGATAATTCTATGTATGATAATCTATGTATGATAATCTATGTATGATAATCTATGTATGATAATCTATGTATGATAATCTGTGTAACTGTGTATACCTGAATAAACTTAATGGATCGTCCCACAGCACGTATTAAGACGAATGTAATTGAGAATATTAACAGGTCTGTTTACAATTAGTTATTTTACTAAGGTTATCCTCTTATGTAACATTAAACCACACAACACGTACCCTATCATGGGTATGTAAAGCGAGCCCTGGGCACCTGCTGCTAAGATCTCATAACTGTAATGGTACAGTGTTTCCAGCAGGAGGTAAAACCATAAGATGGTCAGAAGAAAGAATTCGTTTTTGCCAACATGATTTTTATTATGAAATTCCTTAGGCTATTATGGTCACTGGCCAATATAATACTGGGAAAATTGGTCAGTAACTGAAAATAAAAATATTGGCATCTGAGGGTGCTTTAGGCACATTATCCTTCCCCCTACATCTTTCTGATTAACTTAAAAGTCACACACAACATCCCAGGCTTCACTGAATTGTAAACAAAAATTGATCAGGTTTATGGGATATACACCTCATTTAGAGGTGATGGAAGCTAGAATGGATACTTCTGATATACCAGTATCCCGATTGTAAAGTGAGAGGGATAGTGTCGGGATCACAAGGAAAGGCTTGCAAATCACCTTCGTGAGTTACAAGCTGGAGATATAGTCAGGGACTGTGCTAAGGAATCATTAATATAAAAATGTTTAAACTCCATTTCACAGTATTGAGTCCAAACCAAAAAGGACACCACTCCCATTAGCCCTCTTAGGGCGGGGAAGGTGCCAGAGCCAGAGCTTGCTACCACCTGCAGCTCACAAGACTGCCATTCCCACGTGCCCCCCTGGGGCAGGGAAGATGGCAGACCAGAGGTCTAGCATCTCCCTACGAGCCCCGTGAGGGAGGGGAATGCGGCTAGGCCTGGGAACAGTTGGTCCCAGAAGATGAGGAGGTACTTGCACCTCCTCCCATGGGAGAGCTAGGTCTCACGACACTCCCAAGACTGGAAGCCGAGGCCGGGTTACCACCTGGAAAAGACCCGGACCGGGAGAGCACCGGCGAATCAAGAGGAAGGAAGGAAGGTGTCCAAAAAGAATGGCCAGTAGACAGGTACACAATCGTTCGATACACCAACGGAAGACTTAAGTACTGTATTCTCTACAACACAGGACTCTAAAGCCAACAGAGGTAAATAAGACAATCACCCATCCACAAATGGTCATAACTATGACCATAAGCCAGAGGAAGGCTTCGGCCAGTCATCTAAGACCCGCTTCAGGAAAGATTTGTCCTGTTTCTTGACGAACCTTACCCACCCAGCGTCCAGTGCACCAAGGGAAGACTCAAATATTCTGTGCAGCACACGACTCCAAGGCCAGCAGGGAAGTGTACACGAATTACCACGAGAACACATACATACCAGCGACAAACCCGAGAGACTGCCATCCCTCTCATGCTGGCTAGGTCCTAGCCTAATAAAGAGTCCCACCACTCTGGAGAATAATTTAAAACCTGTTGATTGATTTAATGGCGTTGGTACTAAGCTTCCTGTGTGACCTCAACCCCAAATAGAGAAGCGTGGTCCACCTTAGGACAGCAACTTGCAGGCAAGTAGGTCGTGCCCAAGGGTTAGGCAAGGGAAGAATTCCCAAGTATTAAGATCCCAAGAAGTTGCAGTGTCTGACAGGAATGTAGATGAATGGTTCACAGAACCGACAGTTGGGAATTCTTCGCTTGCCTAACCCTTGGGCACGACCTACTTCCACATTGGACAAATGTGACACCACCTATGACTGC